AATGATCACTCTGGATTAGAACTGAGTGTTGAAAGTAGGTAAAGGGACACACGCACACACACACATATGGTAATCCCAGGCGGGAAGGAAGGGAGGGAGGGAGAGGTGCCTGCCATAGAGACAGGCAATGGGGGGGAGAGTTGGGTGTGGTTGTGGCTATGGGCAGGAGGAAAACTGGGGACTCGTGCTGGTAAATCACACTGGTGTGGGGACGGGTGTTGGAACATTGTACGACTGAAACCCAGTCATGAACAGCCTTGTAAGGCTCTTGTCTCACAGTGTTTCAATTAAAAAAAAAATCAGATCTAAAATTAGTTTTTAAAAAAATGGCAAACGAGTTGGAGTGATCGTTCCAGTGAGTAAGGTGTTTGTCTTGCATGCGGCCTTACGGGGTTCGATCCCCGTATCCCATCTGGTCCCCTGAGTGTCACCAGAGGTAATTCTTGAGTGCAGAGCCAGGAGTAACTCCTGAACACTGCCAGGTGGACCCAAAAAGCCAAAGGGACAAAAAAAAAAAAAAGTATGAGTTCATGTTTTGCATGAAAAAAAAATCAGACCTGAAATTCTTTATTTTAAAAAAAATGGCAAAAGAAAAAAAGAAGAGAAATAGTTCTGAGTTCATGTTTTGCGTGTTTTTCCAGCTCTGTTTAATGAAGAGGCTTTACTTGCCCCACTTCATGTTTTCCTCAGATCTTTTATTTTTTTTTTTTTTTAATTTTTATTAGCTGGAGCGATAGCACAGCGGGTAGGGCGTTCGCCTTACAAGCGGCCAACATGGCCGACCCGAGTTCGATTCCTCCGCCCCTCTCGGAGAGCCCGGCAAGCTACCGAGAGTATTCGATATGCCAGACACAGTAACAACAAAGTCTCCAATGGAGACGTTACTGGGCCCGCTCGAGCAAATCGATGATCAACGGGAAGGCCTTTACCTTTACCTTTTATTAGTGAAATGCCATGAGGTACAGTAATAGATTTACAAATTTTTGTGCTTGGGTTTCAATTATAACAATGATCAAACACCCCATCCCTTCACCAGTGCCCATTTTCCACCACCACGGGTCCCAGTATCCCTCCCACCCCCCATCTCCCCCATCCCACCCTGCCTCTGTGGCAGGGCGTTCCCTTTTGTTCTCTCTCTCATTTTGTTCCCCAGATCTTTATGGTGATCTATATGGGATCCGGGGCTGGAGCAGTAGCACAGCGGTAGGGCGTTTGCCTTGTGTGCAGCCGGCCCTGCCGAGCCAGGGTTCGATTCCTCCGCCCCTCTCGGAGAGCCCGGCAAGCTACCGAGAGTATCTCACCCGCACAGCAAAGCCTGGCAAGCTACCCTTGACGTATTCGATATGCCAAACACAGTGACAACAAGTCTCACGATGGAGATGTTACTGGGCCCGCTCGAGGAAATCGATGAACAGCAGGAGGACCGTGCTATATATGGGCTCTATATAGGTGATCTCTATAGGAGACCAGAGCAAGGCAGAGGCACCCGGGGCAGCAGGGTTGGCATCAGCGGGGGCGCAGGGTTAATACTGAGTGAGGGCTGACCGTGGCTTTAGGACCTCAGGGCAGATGCATGGGCGGACCTTGGGGAACACTCTGTGTCAGTCTCTCCAGAACTCCCCAGTTCATCTCATAATGCACGCCAACTGAGGCTCCAGCCACACAGAAACACACGGGTAACACCCCTGAATGGCAAAGGTCACGGTGGTAAAGCAACGCAGAAACCCATCAGGCTCAGTGAGTGAAGAGGCCGGCCCAGGTGACCCAACGGATAATAATGCACTATCTAACCTCCCTGCTGAGGAGTTTAGAACGGAACTGTTACGGATGCACACGGGGAGCTCAAAGAAACCGTGGAACACACCGCGCACTGGATGTGAGCGCAGAGTTGGGGAACACGCCAACGGAAGTGCGCACAGGAGTGACAGACCTGGAAACGGACCCTGGCAGGTGAAACGGAACGCTCAGCCTCAGAGAAACAGCCACTGCGACAGGTCGGTGAGCGCCAAGACAGGCCGCCAAGAATCTCCAGACGACAGAGAAGATGGCAGGAACCTCCAGATACTGAATGAGGGTATCTTGAGCCCTTGGAAACGCCGAGACCACAAAGCCTTCTCCTTGGCAGTTCGTGACAGAGATGAATTCCAGATTGCGGAGGAAGAAGAGCCCCACCAGATAGATGCGGTCCCCGAACCCAAGAAGTGAAACAAACCACAGCTGGCTAAATGAGCAGAGACCATTTAGGCGGCCCGAGTCCAAAGTGCTGCTGGGGGTTTTAATGGCAGTTGTATAAACACCCTTCACAATCAGGTTAGGAAGACCTTTGGTGATAGAGGTAATGCTTGAGTGCAGAGCCAGTCCATTACCACCTGTGCCCCTGGACTCTTTTTTTTTGGGGGGGGGGGGAGCTGGAAGAAGACACAAGGGAGGGAGTGGTTGGGCCATACCTGGCCATGCTCAGGGCTTATTCCTGGCTCTGTGCTCGGGGTTACACCTGGCAGTACTTGGGGAGACCTAGGCAGTGCCAGGGATGGAACCCAGTTTCACTGCATGCTAGGTAAGTGCCATCCCGCGGTGCTCTCTCTCCGGTTCCCCTGTGTCTGAAGTGCTCACGGACTCAGCTGCAACCAGTTCTTTTCTCAAAGTGGATTTCTGCAGGTGACAGCATAGAGCCGAGGCTGGGAGAATCAGCCGGAAATGACGTCTGCCAAGGCCTGGGCCTCTCGGGATGGAACCGCACCAGGCTCTTAGCATGGCCCGGACGGATACACGAATCCCAGTGGGAAACGGGCCTGCAGACCCTTAAGCCCCTCGGGGGGGGGGGGGGGGCACTGCCCTGGCACGGCTCCCCGGGGGACGAGTCTCCCCTTACCCCTACGTGGGGGCCTCGGTCCAGGGTGAAACTTCGACCCTTCCTCCTCTTGGCCCTGCGCTGGCTGCCGTTGGGTGTGTGGGAAGATGAGGCCCTGTTCACGGCCAACTCCCGGCTGTGCACTCAGGGATCACTCCTGGCCGAGCTCAGGGGCCCCTATGGGATGCCAGGAATCGAAGCCAGGGTGACTGCCTTGCAAGGCCAGCCCCCACCCCGCTGTGCTGTCACTCGGGCCCTGATCCAGCCTTAGAACATATCTGTTCCCCTGCCCCATTGCTTTGCAGAGACCCCCTAGCTCCAGAGAAAGCCGCCCTTCGTGTTTGCACCTGTGCGTGGCTCAGACGCTGTGCCGTGGGCTCCGTAGCCAGCTTTGTCCGTTTTACGTGCCGGCGGAGCTGGGATCCAGGCCAGTGGCGCCCCTGGGGTCTCAGCCCCGACATCCTAGCCCCCGTAAGCCACTGCAGCACTCCTCAGGCTCCTCGTGTAGCAGGACTTTAGGTCCGGGAAAAGACTCATTCCCAGTCGCTTCCCCGGTTCTAGAATTTTCCAGGAAAAGTCACTTGGGTCCGTCTTCACACACAGCCACTTTCTTTAGCAACACCCGAGCGTGTCCATGGTGGAGGAGGCGGCCAGCCTGAAGGGCACGAGGGCGGATGCCCAGCACCACTCCCTGGTCGGCCCTGCGGTCCACGCCACGTCCTGGAGGGGTCGCGTACTCGGCCGTGGTACCCACAACGTAGCATGTCAGTCACCAGCCTCACTGGCCCCGTGGCGCCCTGCAGCCCGCCGTGCACTGGGAGGTCACGGTCATGGTTTTGGGGGCGACCAAGTATCTTGTGGGTGTCACATTTGGTCGATGCTGTCCTGAGCTCCCCCTCTGCGTGTCTCACTCACCTCCCCGGTGTGCCCAGATCTTGTCCATGGTTCACAGGAAAGGAAACCCAGAGACCCTGAGAGCTTCAGCAGCTCCTAGCTGCGGTCACATCGCCACAGGGGGGAACATCCTTTTAAGACGCCAGAGCCTGTAAGTGCATTTGGTGCAACACCAGTTGTTAAATAGAGAAGCTGAAATACGCTCTTCAGGTCTCCCAAGGAGAAATCGGAAGAGCTATGCTTGGAGTATCACGCTTCACTGAAATGAGAGAAAGAATCCGGAGTTCCGACCTCTGTCGACGATCAAGAATCAGGGACGCTGTCTCATTTGCCAAGGTGTCGAAAATCAGATGGGCTGGACACGTCATGAGATTTGGAGACGACCGTTGGACTAGAGCCGTTACCGACTGGATTCCACGGGACGTCAAAAGACCGCGTGGCCGCCCACCTGCGAGATGGTCGGACTTCTTCGTCAAGACCCTGAATGATCGGTTTGAGGCGCTTCATGTTCCTAGAACAAACAGATGCCATTGGGCTACACTAGCACGCGGCAGGGACGAATGGAGATGTTACTGGCGCCCGCTCGAGCAAATCGACGAGTAACGGGAAGTCAAGTGATCAAGTGAAAAAGCAAAGCTGGCCACGGGCACTCCGCCAGCCAATTACACATCCAGTGGGCAGGTGACTCTGTTCCTTAGTATCCTGAGACCGCCGCCACCCCCCCCCCCCCCCCCAGGACACATCACAGTGGTCTGTGGTGCGGTGCCCTACCCACCGCTCCTGCTTGGAGAAAGTGGACCATGAAGTACAATTGGGCAGTTGGTTCCATGCTAGGGAGTTGTTTCCTTGAAGGTAAAAGTTAATTATCTGGAGTTGGAGAGATAGCACAGCGAGGAGGGCGTTTGCCTTGCACGTGGCCAACCGGGTTCGATTCCCAGCATCCCATATGGTCCCCCGAGCGCGGCCAGGAGTAACTCCTGAGTGCAGAGCCAGGAGTAACCCCTGTGCATCGCTGGGTGCGACCCAAAAAGAAAAAAAAAAACTTGATTATCTGGGAAATTCATCTAGAACCATTCACTGCGCAAGGAGGTAGGTGGCGTGAGCAGAGAAGGGGGCTTTGTGTTGCTGCTGGGATGGCAGTGGGGGGGGCGGGCTGGCCTCGGGGCCAGGAGGCAGGGTGGCCGGGTGCAGAGAGGCCCACGCTGACGCGTCTGGGTTCCCCGCCCTGAGCATTTCCTGGTTTCTGGCCCCGCAGCTCTGCAGAAGCTTCCTGGCGTGCCCGTCGTCTTGGGGGGCTCCTCCGCAAGCCCAGAAGTCTTCTCAATCCGAAGCGCTGCTCAACCTCCCCGCCAGCAATGGCCTCCCGACCGGGCCCCTGCAGACGTTCACGGACGAGGAGTTGCTGATGAAGAGCACAGGTGGGCGTGGGGCCGCTGACGGCCTGGCACGGGGTCTGGGGGTGGGTGGGCGGGGCACCCAGGTTTGTGGCTGCAGGATCTTTTTTTTTTTTGCTTTTTGGGTCACACCCGGCGATGCACAGGGGTTACTCCTGGCTCTGCACCCAGGAATCACCCCTGGCAGTGCTCAGGGGACCATATGGGATGCTGGGAATCGAACCCAGGTCGGCCGCGTGCAAGGCTAATGACCTACCCGCTGTGCTATTGCTTCAGCCCCAGGATCTCTCTACTTCTGTTAATAAAAGATTGTTTTTTGGGGGCGGAGGTCACATCTGTCTGTGCTCAGGGCCAACTCCTGGCTCTGTGCTCAGGAGTCAGGGCTGAGAGGACACCTGGGTGCCGGGGATGGAACTGGGGTTGGTTGGCGGCAGCCACACAAGTGCCTTAACCCCTTACGGTCGCTTCACCCTCACTGGATTTCTGTTTTGAATTGTAAGTAATCAGGGCTGGGAGATAGCACAATGGTTAGGGCACATGCATGCACTGGGTAGTTTGTGTGCCGTGTTTAGTGTGCTCGCTTGTGCCCAACTTAGCTTCAGTCCCTGGCACCATGCCATCTCCTGAGCATTGTCGGGTATGATCCGAGAGGGCCCAGCATGGCTAAGCCACTGACCCGGCTGACAATCTCTTGTGGGGTCTCCAGACCCTCTGAGCCCTGCTTGATAAATCGATTAAAAAAAAAATGAAAAACAAGTAACCCATGTCACATTGAAAGAATTCAGATGTTGAGCCGGAGCGACAGTACTGCTGGTAGGGGGTTTGCCTTGCATGGGGTCCATCTGGGTCAATCCCTGGCATCCCATATGGTCCAGAAGTGAGTCCTGAGTGCAGAGCGAAAAGAGGAACTCCTGAGCACCGCACGATATAGATGACCCGAAAACTTTAAATGTCTATGGCCATACCACCCTGAACGCGCCCGATCTCATCTGATCTTGGAAGCTAAGCAGGGGTCGGGCCTGGTTAGTACTTGGATGGGAGACCGCCTGGGATTACCGGGTGCTTTTTTAGGCTGGAGCGATAGCACAGCAGGTAGGGCGTTTGCCTTGCATGCAACCAACCTGGCTGACCCAGGTTCGATTCCTCCGCCCCTCTCGGAGAGCCCGGCAAGCTACCGAGAGGATCTCGCCCGCACGGCAGAGCCTGGCAAGCCACATGTGATGTATTCGATATGCCAGACACAGTAACAACAAAGTCTCCAATGGAGACGTTACTAGGCCCGCTCGAGCAAATCAATGATCAACGGGAGGGCCTTTACTTTACTTTACTTTAAAAACTTTAAAAAAAGAAAAATCCAGACTTAAACTCCATTTCTTTTTCCTACAGTGAAAAAATTTGCCCAGGAACAAATCGCTCCTTTGGTCTCGACAATGGATGAAAACTCCAAAATGGAGAAATCCGTCATACAAGGATTATTTCAACAAGGGGTATGTGAGTTTTCGCTCGCGTAAATCCATTCCTGTGTTGAGAGGCGCGTCACTCGTCGATTTTTGCTCTGGGCCCAGTTCCTTAACGAGCTCTGCATTTCAGATGGACCTGCCCGCTAAAGATTTTATTCGGGCAAATTAACGGTCTAAATTAGAAATCCTAAAAGATTAGAAGCCAGAGGATGTGATTGGGTTTTTTTCCCCCCCTTGCATTGAGGGATCAGTTCTCGAAGTGCCTGGGGGCCATGTGGCGGCCAGGCTCGAACCCGAACCCAAACCCAGAGCTCCTGCAGGCTTTGCCAGGCCTTGCCCCGGCCTGAGGCTGGTTCCTGCAGACCATCCACAGCTCAGTTAGGACTGTTTTTGTCCCCTGAGGCCTTTGGCCACACTCTGGTCCTCACATGCCCCCGGGGGTGAGCAGGTTGGGGCTGGGGCCCTGCTTAATGTCCTGCAGGGCACAGGGCAGCCCCTCACGCCCCCACCCCCACTCCCAGGACTGCCCCTTGCCCAAGTCCCAGGATGAAGAATTCCACCTTGGTCACTGGACCTCATCCCGCGCCTGCGGGTAGCCAAGGGCAGTGCGGGCCGGGCCGCCCGGGTGGGGACGGGTCTGTCTGTCGGCAAAGGAGTCCCCACGTTCCCCACTCCCTCCCACATCAGCTGGAAGGTCGGAGCTCACTTTGGGGCACTAAGGCCACTCCAGGACGCAGGGTTTCTCTCCAGGCCAGCTGCTCGAACCCTGGGCCACGGCGTTGGAAACCAACCCTTCCATTTCCTTCCTTCCTTCTCAGCGGCCTGGTTTCGCATTTTCTGTTTCTTCTTTGCACCACACCCGGCGATGCTCAGGGGTCACTCCTGGCGCTCTGCACTCAGAAATCACTCCTGGCGGTGCTCCGGGATGCGGGGGCTTGAACCCGGGTCAGCCGTGTGCCAGGCAGACAGATACCCTCCCCGCTGTGCCGTCGCTCCAGCCCCAGAGACCCGCCTTCTCAGACCGGGACTCGGGGTCAGTGGCCCTGTGGCCCCTGGGCTCCATCTCACAGCCAGGGGGGATCCTGGGGGTCTGAGGGCAGCCCCCTCCTGAGCCGGCATGAAGGCATGATGGGTCACATGCCTTCACCACCTGCTCGCCCTCGGGACCTGCCCCAGGCTGTTCTCAGCTTCACCTGACGCCTGTCCTGTCCGAGTCTGTTGGCAGAGGGGAGCCCTCCTCCCCCTGCTCCTCCCCTTCCCGGTGGTCTCCACGCAGATGACCAGGCCGACCTGGTCACTCCTACCTTCTGGAGCTGCGCCCCCCTGGGAGAGCTGCCACGTTCCTAGCCAGCTTCGAACGTGGCTGCAGGATGCAGCTTCAGAGACGCTTGCAGAGAAGAGAGCGAGACGTCATCCTCTCAACCTGCGCCCCAGACACCAGCTCCGGTTAAACACAGCCCTCAGTCCCTGCATCAGAGACCCCTGCCCAGGGGAGCCTGCTGGGAGTCTCGTTCCCCTGATGGGGGCACCATGCCCGGAAGGGTTTGGCTAGCCGCAGTAGTGTGTGTCAGGCCCCAGGGTTTGGGGGTCCTGGGTGTTTCTGAGAAACACGCCTGCCTGGACCGGACCTGCTCATGTGCTGGGGGGGGGGGGGGGAGCTCGCTCGGTTCTGCTGTGAGGTGGACAGGCCAGCAGGATGCCCTTCGGCCCTGGCGGCTGGGGCTGGGCGCTCTTGTCCCTTCCTCCTGCCGTTGAAATCCGTCTAAATGGACCATATTGAAAACCAAGCCAGGGCCGAGCGACAGTGCAGCAGGGAAGGGTCTTGCCTTACACGCGGCTAACCCAGGTTCAATCCCCTGCACCCCATCTGGCCCCCTGAGCACCTCCAGGAGTGATCTCCAAGTGCAGAGCCAGGAGGAACCCCTGAGCATCGCTGGGCGTGGCCCAAAACCAAAAAAACGAAAAAACTCCAAGCCAGTGCCTGAGCGATATATATGGTGTGAGGCATTTGCTGGCAGGAGCCGCCCGGGGTCCATCCCCAGCGCACCTCCTCCCGCCCCGGGTGATTCCTGAGCGCAGAGCCTGGTGTGGCTCAAAAATCAAAAAGAAGAAGAAAACCGAATTGATTTTATGCCAACACAAATCCAACGAGCAGTGCGGGGCATCACCTTCGGGGCCAGCAGAGCTGTACCTGCCGATGCTGGGGTGGCCGTGCAGTACCGGAGTGGACTTGCCCCACAGTGCTCCTGTGTGAGCGAGGTAGCTTGCCGGGCTCTCTGAGAGGGGCAGAAGAATTGAACCCGGCTCGGCCGGGCCAGCCGTGCGCAAGGCAAACGCCCTACCGCTGTGCTATCGCTCTAGCCCAACTTAAATGTAGATACAGAAATTTCCTTAAAAACTCAAGCAATGTGTGTATGAGGGGAGGCCGGATAGCTAATTCAGCGGGTATGGGGCTTACCACACCGCTGACTGGTTTGACCCCTGGCACCTCTCAAGGACCCCAGCACAGCCAGGCATGACCCCTGAGCCAAGAGTAAGCCCTGATTACTGCTGGGTGTGGCGCAACCCTACCCCGTCATGAATTTTTTTTTGGGGGGGGGGTGGGATCACACCCGGTGATGCACAGGGGCTACTCCTGGCTCTGCACTCAGGAATTACTCCTGGCGGTGCTCGGGGAGACCATATAGGATGCTGGGAATCGAACTCCAGGCGGATGCGTGCAAGGCAAACGCCCTCCCCACTGTGCTATCACTCCAGCCCCACCCCTCATGATTTTAACTCATATATATATATTTTTTTTTTTTCTTTTTGGGTCACACCTGGTGATACTCAGGAGTTACTCCTAGCTTTGTGCTCAGGAATTACTCCTGGCAGTGCTTGGGGGGACCCTATAGGATGCTGGGACTCAAACCCCGGTTGGCCGGCCGTATACAAGGCGAACGCCCTACCCGCTGTGCTATCGCTCCAGCCCCACCCCTCATGATTTTTTTTATATAATTTTAGTACTTTATTTATTTATTTATTTATTGCTTTTTGGGTCACACCCGGCAATGCACAGGGGTTACTCCTGGCTCTGCGCTCAGGAATTACTCCTGGCGGTGCTCGGGGGAACCCTATGAGATGCTGGGAATCGAACTCGGGTCGGCGGCGTGCAAGGCAAATGCCCTCCCTGCTGTGCTGTTGCTGCAGCCCCCTCATGATTTTTTTAAACTCATATTTATTTGTAAGAAAACTCCCGAGAGGGCTGGAGAGCCAGAGACGAAGGGGCTTCCCTTTTCTGGAGCTGACCGGCAGGCACCACGCATAGCCCCTGAGCGCCACCAGGGGTCGCTCCTGAGCACCACGGCTGTGGTCCCCCCAAGCCCCGCATCTTGGAGGAGGATGCTTCCCCCTCAAAAGTGGGAAACCTCCCTGAGTGTGCCCGTGCTTTGCCTCCAGCTGATGGGCATCGAGATCGACATGAAGTACGGGGGCACGGGCGCCTCCTTCTTCTCCTCCGTCCTGGTGATCGAGGAGCTGGCCAAAGTGGACGCCTCCGTGGCCGTGCTCTGCGACATCCAGAACACCATCATCAACACGATGCTCAGGAAACTGGGGACTGAGCAGCAGAAGGCCACCTACCTGCCCAAGCTAGCCACGGAGCTGGTGAGGGGGGCTGCTGACCTGGGGGGGAGGGGGGCCCTGGGGAGGGGGGTCCCCGCCCCACTGTGGAAACCCGGAGACCACACAGTCCGCCGGGTCATCTGTCTCTCCCAGTTCTGTGTCCACTCGCTCTGGGGTGGGGTTTTTTTTTTTTTATTTGCTTTTTGGGTCACATCCGGCAATGCACAGGGGTTCCTCCTGGCTCTGCACTCAGGAATTCCTCCTGGTGGTGCTCGGGGGACCGTATGGGATGCTGGGAATCGAACCCGGGTCGGCTGCGTGGAAGGCAAACGCTCTCCCCGCTGTGCTATTGCTCCAGCCCCCTGGGGCAGATTTTGACCTCCCTCACCTTGTCTTCCTGCCACCCTTCTTCGACCCAGTTTGACCAGCTCAGGGGCTCCTGCGCTACCTTGGTTCTGGACAGCAAGTTGGTCCATGTTGGAGAGTGAATCCTGTCAGGAGACCTCGATGGTTTTTCTTAGGGATGGGCTTTTTTTTTTCTTCTTTTTTTTTTTCTTTTTGGGTCACACCCAGCCATGCACAGGGGTTACTCCTGGCTCTGCGCTCAGGAATTACCCCTGGAGGTGCTCAGGGGACCATATGGGATGCTGGGAATCGAACCCCGGTCGGCCGTGTGCAAGGCAAACGCCCTACCCCCTGTGCTATTGCTCCAGCGACAGGGACGGGCTTTTGAACACCCTCTGGCCCAGGGGACAGCACAGCACTCGGGCACTTACCTTGCGCACGGCTGCTCTGGGTTCCAGCCCAGGCACCACCGAGGGTCCCGCAAGACCACCAGGGCTGATCGCTGAACACAGAGTCAGAAGCAAGCCCTGAGCACTGCTGGGTGTGGACCTCCAAAGTCAAGGGGAAACTAATGAATAAATGAGAACCCTTGCCACCCAGTGGGTAAACGTTTTTTTCTTTGCCACAGTGTGTGTCTGAATTGGGGTCTGGATGCTTTGCTCTGCAGGTGGGCAGTTTTTGCCTTTCAGAGGCAGGTGCAGGAAGTGACTCGTTTGCTCTGAAGACCCGAGCTGAAAAGAAAGGGGATTACTACGTGATCAACGGATCCAAAATGTGGATCTCCAATGCGGAGTACGCAGGGCTCTTCCTGGTCATGGCCAACGTGGACCCCAGCTCCGTAAGTCCACCTGGCAGAGGGGGGGCCTGCCACACACCCCCACGGTCTCTCTCTCTCCTCCTCTCATCCTCTGGTGCCTTTTTTTAGGACACAGCCTTAAATTCTTAATTCCCCTCAGCACTCAACCACCGACATCATTCCGTCCTTTCCTAATCTCCTGAGATAAAATATTGTTGACATAATTATTAATTACAGGGAGGGCATGTATTACTTTTTAATAGATGTAAAAAGCTGCTCTCTCATTTTGGAGAATTTCAAGTTCCTGTTTCATCAGGAGGAATTGAAGTACCTCTCTAGTGTGTCTAAATTTTTTTTTCCTCTTTTTCAGGGGGCTGGGGGTGGAGCTGATTCCACCCAAGAACTCTCAGTGGCGGTGCCTGGTTCTGTTCTCAGGCGTGATCCCCGGCAAGAGGGGTCAGGGCGGGGGGGGGGTGTCCCTGTGCAGTAGGTAGAATTGAGTGCCTTCAAGGCAAGCTCCTCATCCCCCTGTACTGGTGGGCCAGTACTGTCTCTGGCCCACCCCCCCCCCACTACATTTATTTATTTATTTATTTTTGCTTTTGGGGTCACACCTGGCGATGCACAGGGGTTCCTCCTGGCTCTGCACTCAGGAATCACTCCTGGAGGTGCTCAGGGGACCATATGGGATGCTGGGAATTGAACCCGGGTCGGCCGCATGCAAGGCAAACGCCCTACCCGCTGTGCTCTCTCTCCAGCCCCTACATTTATTTTATTTCAGAATATTTTTGTATATATCTTTTATTTTCATAAAAGTAGTTCACAGTAGTTCATTCCAGATAACATTCAAACACCAGCTCCTCCACCGAGCCTCTTCCCACCACAGTAAGAGGGAAGGTGTGAAGGTTGTTGCATTTCATTCTGGAGCCGTTTAAGCCCGATTATAAGAGAAGACAAACCAAGGATGTTAAACCCAAACAAACGTCTGCTACTTTTGATAAGTAAGTGAGGTAGCGTGTAAGAGGTACAGGAAATTCTGTGTTCATCTCTTCCTTGAGCTTTAGTTCATAATCTCTGAGTCTCGATGAGATTACCTGGTGCCAGAGGCAGTTTTGGGGTGTGACGGCCAAGCTACTGGAAAACTGGGGACCCGGCGGGAGGAGGCCCAGTCCTGATCCAATAGGGCCTGGAGATCTCAGTCATGGGTTCCCGCGCACCTGGGTTTTTCTGCCCGTCCCCTCTTGGGTGAGGTTCATCTTTTCTTGGGTGAGGCTTGTCGGAGCCTGTGGAAAGTGGCCTTGAGCACGGCGGTGGTTGGATTCTGGAGGTTTTTGGCTGCTGGGGTTGTGCTTGGGGCCAGGAGGGAAACACAACTTGCTCCCCTCCAAGGGGCCCCAGTGAAGACAGCCTGGTGAGGGGTCAGGGCATTCGTCCTATTTCAGAATATTTTATTCAGTTGGAAAATAGCAAAATATAAACACATTCTATCTTTTGTCTTTCATCTAAAGTATATTTAATTGAATTAAACTTTAGTTTTGGGTTTTAATGGGGGGGGGGGGAGATTACCACACCCAGCGATGCTCAGGGGTCACTCCTGGCTCTGCACTCAGGAATTACTACTACTGGTGCTCTGGGGACCATATGGGATGCCGGGGAGGGAACCCGGGTTGGCCATGTATAAGACAGGCGCCCTGCTCACTGTACTATTGCTCTGACCCTGAATTAAATTTTAAAGAAGTTCATAAAATTAAGCTTAAAACCTGACGTTTTCATGTTCCCTAGTGGGATGTAATCGTTTTGATTGGTGCATTAGTTTCTGAAAACGTAAAAGAAATGGTAGGTTTTTTTGTTTTTTGTTTGTTTGTTGTTTTTTTTGCGTCAGGGCTGACTCCTGGCTCTGCACTCAGGGATCACTGCTGTAGGTGCTCGGGGGACCATACGGGATGCCGGGGCTCGAATCCGGGTACAAGGCAAATGCCCGACCTGCTGTACTATCACTCCGGCCCCTGTTTTATTACTTATTTATTTATTTATTTTGCTTTCTGGGGTCACATCCAGCAATGCTCAGGGGTTACTCCTGACTCATGCACTGAGGAATTACTCCCGGCAGTGCTTGGGGGACCATATGGCATGCCGGGGATCGAACCCCGGTCGGTCACGTGCAAGGCAAACTCCGTACCCGTTGTGCTATCGCTCCAGCCTCTTCCTGTTTTATTATTTTTTTTTAAACCCAACTCCTACTTACTTTTGTCCCAGCACACGTGTTCTGATCCCAGGCCCTCGGTATCGATCTGGTATCGATCTCTTCGAACCGTCTTTAGTTTCCTCTTTCCTCTGCAGCGTGTGGGAGTGACCGCTTTTCCCCTGTCCCTCCTAGGGCTATAAGGGCATCACCTGCTTCCTGGTGGATCGGGACACCGAAGGCCTTCACATCGGGAAGCCGGAGAACAAGATGGGCATCCGGGCCTCTTCCACGTGCCCGCTGACATTCGAGAACGTCAAGGTGGGTGCCCGGCCCCACCCCGGTGAGGGAGCTGCGGGAAGGAACCGTCAAACGCAGAAGCCAAGACTGTTCGCTTGGGCCCGCCTTGCCCAGCTCTCAGCAGCGTTCCCGGGTTACTTACATCGGTTCTGGCATGCCTCTGGCTCACGGTGCAGCCAGGAACGCTTTCTTCCCAGCCGCTGCCGCAAGGGCAAAGTCCAGGAAGTAAGGCCAGGCTGTGTTTTGTCACCCCTCTGGGCCTTAAACCTTCTGCTCCCCATGCATGTGGCCGCTGGGCCTGGCTGGAGGAGGGAGGCCCTGGCACCCTCGGGCCACCAGGGGGCGCTGCCGCCCAGTGAGAGGAGAACCGCAGGGCTGAGTGCTGAGCCCTGAGCCCGTCGTGGCGGCCTGTGCGTCTCCCCTCCCCCACTACACCCCCAGGAGCTGGGCCTGATCCCTCAGCCCCGGGTGAGAGTGTGTGCATGGGGGTCCGGTGCAGCCCCCTCCCTGCCTTTCCTCGCCGCCTCGCCCAAACTGCCGTATTAGAAGCTCAGTTTGCGTCACTCATCGTTCCCGGCCAGCGTGCCACGTCCTGAAGAGACATTTAGGTTTGTTTCAGCCCCCTGCTCCACCCTGGTGTGTTGTGCCCACGAGCACACACACACACACACACACACATACACACACACACAAACACACGCATGCACGCACGCACATATGCATGTGTACACACACAAACACACAGGCACACACACATATGCATAGACACAAACACAGGCACACACATGCACGCACATATGCATGGACACACAAACACAGGCACACACGTGCATATACACATATGCACGCACACACACATATGCATGGACACACAAACAGGAACACACATGCACGTACACACACATATGCATGGACACACAAACACAGGCACACACATGCATGTACACACATGCACGCACACACACATATGCATGGACACAAACAGGCACACACATGCACGTATACACACATGCACACACATGCATGGACACACACGCACACACATATGCATGGACACACAAACACAGGCACACACATGCACGTACAGACATGCACGCACACACACATATGCATAGACACAAACAGGCACACACATGCACGTACACACATGCACACACACATATGCATGGACACACAAACACAGGCACACACATGCATGTACACACATGCACACACACATATGCATGGACACACAAACACAGGCACACACATGCACGTACACACATGCATGCGCACACCTACGAACGCACACATGCATGCACACACATATGCACACACACAAACACAGGCACACACACATGCATGCACACATATGAGAACACACACACACACTAGTGTTGCTTTCTGTTGGCTAAGAGTCCCTCCAGAGAGCCAGAGAGAGGAACCGTTTCCTACCCTTGCTTCCCCCGCCCCCTCCCGGAGCCTTGGGTCATCTGCCCCACGCCGGTTGGGGTGTGTGAGGTCGCTGAGCGTGGACGAGAGGCTTGTCCAGCCGGGCCCCTCGGGGCTTGGTGGCCAGCCGTGGGGCCTCGAAGCCTGCGTCTCGGAGAACCGTGCAGGAGACACTCCGGAGAGACACGGGCCCACGCTTGCACTCGCACACCCGGATGTTCACACAGTCGAGTGTGTGCACACTCAGACTGGCACACGCACTCACACACTTGCAACGCTTGCCCACTTGCAGATTTTCACACATGTGCATACACACCCCCCTCCGTGGTTAACACGCGAAACGCGCGTAGTGTGTGCTTTCATGTGTACACACTCACCTGGACTCGTGCACGCTCACACACAGGGGCACACTTGCGGTCATTCGCACACACATGCACGCGTACTCACGCTTGCACACCCATACTTCTGCACACGCACGCGCTCAAACACACACATTCGCACAGTCTCACGCATGCACACATGTAGATGCACGCACACACACAGAGCGTGTCGTTTGCAGTCTCCTCCGTTCTGTAGCACGTGTGTGTGTGTGTGTGTGTGTGTGTGTGTGTGTGTGTGGCGGGGGCGTCCGTTACAAAAGCATCCTGAACACAGTTCCGGCAGCAGAGGAATGACCACGCTCTGGTCATCTCTCCCCAGGTCCCCCAGGCCAACGTGGTGGGGCAGGTGGGGCACGGCTACAAGTACGCCATTGGGAGCCTGAACGAGGGCCGGATTGGAATCGCTGCCCAGGTCAGTGGCCGCCTCCCTTGGCAGCGAGCAAGTTAGTGTGACGGGGCAGGACCATGAGAAACCCAAGTGTTCTGCCGGCCGTGCCCACACGGGGGCGCCCTTCGTTTCTGTGCTGGGAGGAGGAAGGGCGGGGGCGGGGGGGGGTCGTCTGTCCTTGTCTGGAACCCCAACGAGGCCCAGAGGTCACAGTCACGGACGCTGGGAGAATCAAGGCACTCTCCAGGACCTGGGGCGACAATCTCTCACTTCCGTTATAAGTTAAATACGGTATTTATAATTTTTTTTTCTTTTTTGGGGTCACACCTGGCAATGCACAGGGGTTCCTCCTGGCTCTGCACTCAGGAATCACTCCTGGCAGCGCTCAAGGGACCCTATGGGATGCTGGGAATCGAACCCGTGTTGGCCTCTTGCAAGGCAAACGCCCTACCCGCTGTGCTATCGCTCTGGCTCCAGTATTTATGATTTTTAAAACTTTTTAAAGCATGAAATTCATCAGTGCTCAGAGGTGACTCCCAGCTCTGTGCTCAGGAATCACACTTGGCGCTTGGGAGGGTCCTCCCAGGTGACACCCAGCGGTGCTTGGGAACTGAGTGGTGTGGGGGCAGGGGTGGGTATGAGCGGGGGGATTAGAACCTGGGTCAGGAGCATGCATGTACCCTAACCCCTGTACTGTCTCCCTGGCCATGCTTTTATTTGTGGGGGGGTGGGTTTGGGGGCCACACCCCCTGGTTGGCTTAAGGAGAATTCGTAGATGCACCAACCACAATTAATTAGGTTATACTGTAACATTGTGTGGGTCCAGGAACTCTCCATTGTGAGACTCGTTACTGTTTTTGGCATACCAAATACACCACGGGGAGCTTGCCAGGCTTTGCCATGTGGGCGGGATACTCTCGGTAGCTTGCCGGGCTCTCTGAGAGGGGCGGAGGAATCGAACCCGGGTCAGCGGCGTGCAAGGCAAACGCCATACCCGCTGTGCTATGGCTCCAGCTCCAGTTAATTAGGTACGAGAAAAGACTCTTCTGCTTTCTGTCAGGCTTGATTTTTATAATGCCCCTTAGATTTTTCTGTCGAGTGGTGGAATTTGTTTTCTCGATGAGCAAAAGGAATGAAGCTGTTGGTTTTATTACAAACTCATCTCCATAGATCATATTTATTTTTTTTCAGTGTCTAACCGAGAGTCAAAAACGTGCAGCTTGTGGGTTTTGAAGTTGTTCCGTGGCATCAGCCGCTAGAATCGACAGAGGCACAGAGGCAGTTCTCGTTTCTCGCTCCCACATTGCAGTTAGTTTGCAAAAGTGCCGTTTTTAGGTCAGAATCGGAGTCTGTCTCCCACACAGCCTGCCTGGAGGGCCCTGGAGGCCGTGGGCTTCTCTGGTCTTTCTGCAGTTTTCCTGGGATTCAGCGTCTCCCGCTAGGGCTGGAAACCCTCATTCCAGACTGTTACTATGCTGCTTTCTGCATTAAAACACAGTCTGGGGGCTGGAGAGATAGCACAGTGGGTAGGGTGTTTGCCTTGCATGCAGCCGACCCGGGTTCGATTCCCAGCATCCCGTATGATCCCCTGAGCACCTCCAGGGGTGACTCCTGAGTGCGGAGCCAGGAGGAACCCCTGTGCATTGCCGGGTGTGACCCCCAAAAAAAAGAAGAAAAAAAAAAACACAGTCTGGTCTTTGATCCCAGCTGCCCGGGCAATCTTGTAAGCTCATTAAAAGTTAAGGTGAGGGGGCCTGGAGCGATAGCACAGCAGGTAGGGTGTTTGCCTTGCATGCGGCCGACCGGGTTTGATTCCCAGCATCCTATATTTTCCCCCGAGCACCACCAGGAATAATTCCTGAGTGCATGAACCAGGAGTCCAGGAGTAACCCCTGTGCATTGCCGGGTGTGACCTAAAAAAGAAAAAAAAAAAAACGAAAAGAAAAAAGTTAAGGTAAGGGGTTCTTCATTCTGGGTTAGAACCTTTTAGCGAAAGAGCCCCTTTTAGGGAAAAAGCCATCTCCAGCCATAGCCTGGAAGCATCCACCAGTCAAGCGCTGCAGCTGCCAGCTTCCGGGAGGACCTTCAAGGCAACCCATTCTGATGAGCTGCTGGTCATTTGCACACAGGATAGAATATCGTCAGCCTGCCTGAGTGATAGCACGGCAGGGAGGACGCTTGCCCTGCACACAGACAGACATCCTGAGTTCAATCCCCAGCATCCCATAGAGTGCCCAGTGCCCTGCCAGGAGCAGTCCCTGAGCACAGAGCCAGGAGTCAGCGCTGAACACTGCCCAAAGCCAAAAACAGCAAACACCCTGAGCTGTCGAGGTCGGTGACACTGTGTCAGCTTGGAGCCCCTGACTGCCAGCTGCCACTTCCTGAGAACCTGATGTTTGGGCTAGGGGAGGCTCTTGTCCTCGGACTCCTTAGCCAGATATTCTTTTTCTCAAGAAAGTTGAAAAATAAAGGCCGCAGGAAAATGTGAATGATTTTGATTTCAAGACGATAATGAAATATTGATGTTAGCAGGATTCCCCCACCCCGCCAAATATTTAACTATTGATTTTTTTCCCCTTTTCCTAAAAACTACAAAGTTGAACATAATGAGATGGTGATTTAATGGCGACTTCAGGTTGGACTTTATTTTTTTATTATTATTATTATTTTTTTGCCTCTTGGGTCATACCTGGCAACGCACAGGGGTTACTCCTGGCTCTTCACTCAGGAATTACTCCTGGCGGTGCTCAGGGGACCCTATGGGATGCTGGGAATCGAACCCGGGTCGACCATGTTGGCTGCGTGCAAGACAAATGCCCTACCCGCTGTGCTATTGCTCCAGCCCCCAGGTTGGACTTTAGAGACCGTTTCTGAGCGGAAAGTGCTCAGAAATGAGACGAGGGGCTGGTCTTTGTGGCTGTTTATTCTTGTGCCTTCAGATGAAGAGTCTCTTTCTGGTGCTCTCGGCTTCAGCCGTTTGTGAAGTCACTTCAGGACTTTCGTAAAAGCTGATGTGGGGCCAGATCAATCGCCCAGCAGGGAGGGCATTTACCGTGCACACCTCTGACCCAGGTTCGATCCCTGGTGCCCCATAGGGTCCCCTGCGTACCGCCAGGAGAGTGATTCCTGAGTGCAGATCCAGGAACAACCTCTGAGCACCGCCAAGTGTGGCCCCCAGAAAGCAAAGCATCACCCTCCACCTCTGGCTTCTGGAAGGGGGAGGGTGAGCGCTCCTTGGCCTTCAAGCCAGTTCTAGTGAAATTTCTCTTTTGTGTGGGATGGGGAACCTCCCCCGGCGATGCTCAGGGCTGACTCCCGGCTCTGCACTCGGAATCACTCCTGGCGGGGCTCAGGGGACCGTATGGGATGCTGGGGATTGAACCCAGGCCTGCCACGAGCAAGGCAAACGCCCTCCCCATTGTGCTATCGCTCCGGCCCCTCCGGTGAAATCTCTGTGACTCACTTTATACCCAGAGAGTCGGAGACTCAAGGGGAACTTTCCAGGGGCTGGAGCGATGGCACAGCGGGTAGGGCATTTGCCTTGCACGCGGCCGACCCGGGCTCAATTCCCAGCATCCCATATGGTCCCCTGAGCACCTCCAGGGGTAATTCCTGAGCACAGAGCCAGGAGTAACCCCTTGCATTGCTGGTGTGACCTAAAAAGAAAAAAAAAAGGTGGGGGGGAGGAGGACTTTCCAGAGAAGCCATGGGCCATGCTGGGTCCTCAGGGACATCCCTGCGTGCAGATACTCACTTCGTCACGACCTCCTGTTTCCAGAAACTTAGGAAAGGCGGGGAGGGGGTCCTTGACTCTTGGCCACTGTCCCCACCCAGACCAGTCCATTGACCTGTCAATGGATCTTAGTAACGCGAATGAGCCAGAGCCTCCTCCTGAAACAAAAATAAGCATTTCTGGTCTTTTCGTTTCTTTTTTCCTAAAAAACAGATGCTGGGATTGGCACAAGGCTGTTTCGACTACACGATCCCGTATATCAAAGAGAGGATACAGTTCGGCAAAAGACTGTTTGATTTTCAGGTACGTAATCATTGGCATCTTGCTACTGTCTCTGGGCCTCGTGGCCTGTTAGAAGGAGTCCCACAGCCCCCAGGACTGGATTTATCCGGGGACCACCCCAGTGATGCTCAGGAGGCGGGCAGGAACCCTCTGGTGATTGACAGCTGGCGGCTGGGTGTGGGCGTTGGGATGCGGTTCTTCTGGGCCCCTGCTGGGCTGGGTCACCCAGACCACTACAGCCGTGCACCAGGGCCACCCCAGCAGCGCTGGGGACCTCCAGGGCTGTCTGATGGACATGGCACTGGGTTGGTGCCATGCCAGCCCCCCTCTCTCCAGAACCCCCCTCAAAGATTTTACATTGCTGTTGTTTTGTTTCCTTTGGGGGCCACACCTGGTGGTGCTCAGGGCTCAGTTCCTGGTTCTGTGTTCAAGGATCACTTCTCCTGGTGCTCAGGGGACCCTCGTGGGTGCCCGGGCCCCAAACACAGGTCGGCCATGTGCAAGGCAAGCATCCTACTCTCTGCACCCATCGCTCCGGTCTGACCAGCTCCATCTTTGAAGGTGACATTGTCACCCCGTGACCTGATCATTAACTTCTTTTTTTTTTTTTTTGCCTTTTTGGGTCACACCCAGCAATGCTCAGGGGTTCCTCCTGGCTCTGCACTCAGGAACCACTCCTGGCGGTACTCAGGGGACCATATGGGATGCCGGGGATTGAACCCGGGTCGGCCGCATACAAGGCAAACACCCTACCCGCTGTGCTATCGCTCCAGCCCCTAACTTCTAGTTAATGTTAATTCATGGCAGGAGTGTATTGACATGAAGCGTCGTGAGAGTTGGGAGTCCTTTTCCTCACTCCCCGGCAGAGTGGTTCCGCCGATCCCTGTGGTCAGTGCGTCCCGCCCTAGACCGGAGAGATGGACTTTCATACTCTGGGCCAGCATCTGGCGGTGCACGAGCCGTGGGCCAGCCGTCAGCCTGGCAGGAAGCCCCTGGGGTTTCAGCCCTTCCGTCCTGTGGGCCAAGCCGCGGTCCGTGGAGCAGCAGTGACCACCCATGCCCAAGGCCACAGCCTCGTCTACCCACTGACCCGGTGCTCACCGGGAGAGTCGAGTCTTAAAAATCTGGCGATGGCTCATTTCTTGCATCTTGACCATGATTAGAATCACCTGAGATTCCAAGAGATGGAGGCGCATACCTTGTGCACAGTCAGCCGTGGTTCGATCTTTGGCCCTGCATATAGGCCTCCTGAGCACAGAGCCGGGAGCACTGCTGGGCGTGGCAGAGCATAACTAAAAATCTAAATTGTGGGCTGGAGCGATGGCACAGCGGGGAGGGTGTTTGCCTTGCACGGGGCCAACCCGGGTTCGATCCCCGGCATCCCATAGGGTCCCCCAAGCACCCCCAGGAGTGATCCCTGAGTGCAGAGCCAGGAGGAACCCCTGCGCATTGCTGGGTGTGACCCCCAAAAAAGAAAAAAATACTAAATCGCATGGATCTTGAAGTTTTTTCTAAGAATCCAAGTGCTGCCATTTCATTTTAGAGGGCAAATGTGTAAGTAACTTTACACAATGACTTGTGAAGGGCCCCGGGGTCACCTCCTGCGTCCCTCGGCCCTCCCGAGCCAGGCAGGACCTTAGGAGTTAGCCGTGTCGTTAAGGACTGGCCCGCCATGGAGCGTGTCACGCTGAGTGACGCGAGGCAGAGTGACAGACACAGAATCATCCCACCCCTACGTGCGTGTGTGTCGTCATAAGGCTGCAGAGTAAGGGACTAACGCCCAAGAACAGTAACAGTGGAGGACAGGAGGACGGGCTCGTGGCGGGAAGCTTGACAGAGAAGGGACCACAGTGGCACTGATGGTTGGAAATGATCACTCTGGACAAGAACTGAGTGTTGGAAGGAGACCGGGAACACACGTGGCGACCTCTCAGAACCCGCCTTGCAAATCACAGTGCCTGGAAGGAGGAAGGGAGGGAAGGGGGTGGGGAGGGGGGAGGGAGGGAGGGAGGAAGGAATAGAGAGAAGAGAAGTGTCTGCCATAGAGGCAGGCAGGGGTGTGGGTGGCGGGGGGGAACTGGGGCCATTGGTGCTGAGAAATGTGCACTGGTGGAGGGCCAGTGTTGGAACTGTAGGACCAAAACCTGACCGTGAACAACTTCGTAACTGCATCTCTCGCGGTGATTTCCATTTTCTTTTTTTTAAATTGTCACTCTCTAAGTGGGACCTGAATCTTTCAGGGGCTCCAACACCAAGTGGCTCACGTGGCCACCCAGCTGGAGGCCACGCGCTTGCTCACGTACAACGCGGCTCGGCTGCTGGAGGCCGGGAGGCCTTTCATCAAGGAGGCGTCCATGGCCAAGTACTACGCCTCGGAGGTGAGCGGGAGGTGACTCCGCGGCCGTTTGTGTGTTTCCGGACTGCGTGTGTCTGTGTGTGCCGGAGGGAGGGAGTCAGGCTT